AAAACAGTGGAAGCAAACCCAGGTCAACCTATTCAAATGTATGTCTTTAAAATTTTTTTCTGATGAATGCCAAATAGTTCAATCATGTTATTCCTACTCTAAAACATGAGTAATTGTAAATCTGTTAAGGTTTCACAAATAGTATTGATAGAAGGGGATTTACACTGTCAATGATTTTCATATTGTTTCCATGGCCCAGTTGTATTCAAACTTGTACTAAAAGTTCAAACTCTAAGTTTAATCTACCAATGAACTTAAGACGTAATTGTAATCAAATGTCATTGAAAAGTAGTAAAAAAAACACATGCATGGGAATTGTCATTTTTTTTTGACAAATGATATTACCCCTTCACACCCTGATATCTCTGTATACATATTTTCCATACTGTACTCTTTACATTTCCTAAGGTGCTGACAAGGAGAATTTGTTGAACAAGGTTAGGGCTCCTATAGCTTGTGATCAATCCCTTACTGAGACTTGTGTTATTCAGGGATGATATTTTCAGGAGAAATTTGATGCTAGACACTCATAAGAGTTAAAGAGTTTAAAATGCCAACCGAGGTTCTCAAAATCACATATCCGATAATCCCTTTTTGCTGACGTAATTAGCAAGTACACTACCATTCCTTGAAATTGTTTACCATTTTATGTTGCCTCGATCTCCAAAAGCTCATGAATTTAAAAAATAAAAAACCCAGCACCAAACTCTGTTGACTCAGTGTGCAATAATCATGTTGGCATTTTTTTCATACAGATTACATGGTCTCCATTAGAAAGATGATTCATGTGCTACAATAAACAAAAAGTTCTGAAATGAAGTGGCAAATGTTAAATCAAATGAAATTAATTAGGTACACACCAGTCTTTGTCTTAAAGTTTATGACCTCTGGTTCACTTTCTCCATATCTGTTGAAGGCGAAGAGTTTCGACACTTCATACTCTGAGTTAACCTCAAGATTGGTAATTTTGAAGTGGGTCTCATAAGTGTTTCCTTGTTGACAAAGTTTGCTGGATCCTGTCAATTAGGGTTTCTTCCATTCCAGACGGTATTCAGGGCTGACATCGGTGAAGTTTGTATTTGGTGCTAACCAAGTTAGAGTGAACTCCACATTCACCTCACCTTCTTCTTTTTCGATGGTTGGTTTGTCAGGTAAACCTTTGAAAATTATTTAATAAGGATTTTTAATTCCTGATAGATGCAACTGTTATTAACAATAGATCTTTGAGGTAATTAACCATATGTCTAAACACTGAGTGTTCATCTTGAATAATGATCTCTTTAACTTTAATTAACTAAACAAAAGAGTAACATCAAGTGCATTTTCTATGCTCCTTGAAACCTTTGCATTACTTTGCTCTCATCTCATTAACCTTTAATTTGTTTAGCCAGAAGATGATTCTTCTTTTCTTAATTCTGCACAATTTCCTGATCAATGTACACTACAATTCAACTCACCTAAGATGTCTTCTACTCTTGATTTCTTGAACCAAACTGGATCACATATAAGCTGCTGCTCATTAACCTCAAAGTTTAAAATTCCAACTGCTTTAGTGTTCCTCTCACCTTCTTCCAGTAAAACAGTCGAGCAACACTCTGTAGGGCTGGGTAGGTGACTATCATCATTTTCGGGAACAAGTTTCCCTTGCATGTATTCGTATCTATTACTTCCAATATAAACAAACAGGGGTTTGCTTTCCTTTACACCTATCTTAGGTTCGAGATCCCTTAAGACACTGGAGTGCTTGCGTCTAAATCGGTTATGGTTTAGTTCTGAACACTCAGAATCAACAAAAATCACCACCAATCCAGAACTGACATAAAGTGGACTTTTTTTTATGATACTCTCCAATGGGTAACATTTCAGTTTTGAGTTTGGTTTAGTAAACTCCACTTGNTGACCTAGTGTATATTCGAGCTGCTCATTAACCTCAAAGTTTAGAATTCCAACTGCTTTAGTGTTCCTCTCACCTTCTTCCAGTAAAACAGTCGAGCAACACTCTGTAGGGCTGGGTAGGTGACTATCATCATTTTCGGGAACAAGTTTCCCTTGCATGTATTCGTATCTATTACTTCCAATATAAACAAACAGGGGTTTGCTTTCCTTTACACCTATCTTAGGTTCGAGATCCCTTAAGACACTGGAATGCTTGCGTCTAAATCGGTTATGGTTTAGTTCTGAACACTCAGAATCAACAAAAATCACTACCAATCCAGAACTGACATAAAGTGGACTTTTTTTATGATACTCGCCAATGGGTAACATTTTAGTTTTGAATTTGGTTTAGTAAACTCCACTTGATATTTCTCAGCATCAAAGTTCTCTTTTGGAATGTCAGTTTGGAACTTGTTATGATAAAGTACTCACTGCAATCAGGGTTTTGGACCTTAGGCTCATAAAATAAACACCCCCAACCAACAGCTCCATCTTGACGTGTTATTTCGCAGAGTGCCTTGCGTCTCTCCCTTTCAAGTACATCATATGATGGCTGAAACATGAGCTCCCTGAAAGATTCTGCCATTTCATTGGAAAGAAGCCAGGATTACCTTGATGGTAAGAGAAAAAAAGAAAACTTATTAACATCATATCCAAGTTACAACCATAAAGATGTATGTACAGTCGTACTGGAGCTAATTTTATTTTTAAAGTTTATTTTTGGATTTGTGTTTTAATTGGAGCAGAGTTTGTAGTTCTAGCCACAATTAGATAAATTTTATCTTCAACAACAGAATAGTAGCATGAGAAGAGGCCTAAAGTTTTACTTATTTTGGAATAGCTGTACTTCTAAAATAAAGGATTAGGTTAGGATAAGATTTTACTAATATCTTTTAAATATATAGGCATATATTGTTATGTATTATATTTTACAATGGTGGTGCGATGCTGTAAACTATCAGCTGAATATTTAAGGGTTATAGTTTGGCATCCTTTAGGACTATGATACGTAAGAAGGATATAACATAATTTCTGGAAGGATGTGGGAGGGAATGCCACTTATGTTTTGGTTAACTGAATGTGCGTATATCTTAGAGCTTAGCTGTAAATGTCATAGAGGAAATGTAAAACTTCGCTTTGTGGTACCACTGAACGCTTTACTTGAGTGGTGTGGATTTTCGGCTTTTTTAATGTTTTAAAGTATTTGTTAATTTATTTTTTTAACGATGTAATGTAGTATTTGGATGTCCCCAATTAGTGCCATTAATTAGACAAGTATATTAGTTTTAGAGTATTTATTAATTTGTTTTAATGATGTAATGTAGTTTTAGGATGTCCCCAATTAGTGCCTGCGGGCACTAGATCGACTAGACACGTTAATAAAGGTTAAGCCTGCATGTTGTCACAAGGTTTCTCAGTTCTTTGTCTTTAAGTAAAAGCTGTGCTATTACTGGATTTAAGACCCAACACTATTAATTTATTTCATTTCAACAATTCCACCAAACATTAAGTGACAAGTTTAAATAAATGTACATGTACAGTACATACCACTCTTTGTCTTAAATGTTCTGACATCTGGCTCACTCTCTCCTTGTCTATTGACAGCAAACAGCTTCATTTCGTACTCTGCGCCATACTCAAGACCAATTATCTTGTACTGAGTTTCCACAATGTTTCCCTGTTGAACCAGTTCTGTGGATCCTATCATGGGTTGTTTCGTGGTAAGG